GGGATTGGGGGGAGCCGGCCGAGCCCCGAGAGGGGAGCCTCCCGGGGCGGGAGACAAACGGGCAGGCGGGCTGGAAGAACCGCTTCGGCCAGACCCAGTTCCGCCTTCTTCCCCCAGCTTCCCGGCTGGGCTGGGCTCCCGCCCTGCTGCTGCTGCTGCTGCGGCTCCTTGACTTCTCCGGTGGTAGGGAGGACCTGTTTTTGCGAGGCTCGGGTAGTTCCTTAATCGCCAGGTCCCGGGTGTAGACCTCGGGTAGGTCCGTGTCTCTCGTCTAGTTGGGGTTCCTTGGTAGCAAACGGGGGGGGGAACGAGCCAACCCCCCCCCCAAGCATTTAGGAGCTTCTAGGGCCGACCTTCAGCAGGCTTTTTTCTTTCCCTATTTGAAAAGAATCTTTCCTAGTGGGAATAACATTTCCCTCAACCCCCCACCCCCGAAACGGTATGTTGGGGTGTGGGAAACCAGAGGAGGTAAACCCCAACATGCTTCTTCCTCCCAGTTTTTGTCGAGACCTTTTGATCCACGGAGGAGGAGTTCGGCTGCCAGTGTTTTCTCATTCCATCTGGCAGCTGTTCCCATGAAGCAACAGAGTTCTGGTTTTCCTCATTTTTCCATGGGTGTGTTCCTTGGAGCAAAACAGTCCTAGAAAACAGTTCCTTCCTGAACAACAAGGCAGAGCTGACCTTTCCACTCAGTTTTGCTCCTCCTCCTCTCTCATCCCCCCCCCCAGTTATAAAACAGGGTGGGTTCTGGGCCTCACATTTCTGGCTTGCTGACCGGGTGTAGGTTGAACCCGTTTGCTCTGCTGTGCTCCTGCGCCCTGTTTCCCATCCAAACTTTATTTCTTATGCAGAAGGGTGAAGAGGCTTTTTATTTTATTTTTGTTCTCGACCCTTTTTCTGTCATGGGCCATCCTTGACAGGCAGCACCCAGAAGTGAACTCAGGTGACACATACACACCCCGATCCCAGCTGGTAGGGGCTGCTCCTGAAATAACCCCCAACTTAACTTCTATCAGGATTCTCTCCCATAGCACTGACAATCCTTTCCATCTTGTACTGTGTGTCATGAGTCTTAAAAGTCTTTATGATCCCCCTGATCTAGAGGCAGAATTAGAGATGTTGTGTTTGGGGGCAAGTAAATCCCTTTGGCACTTTCAGTGTTGAACTCCTGGGGTTCTGGGTGGCCAGGGGCACAATATTTATTGAATATCTATTTATTTTTTAAAAAATTGTGTATAACCAAAACCATCTTGCTCAGACCTGTGCAGTTTAAGGGAGAAGTGTTTTTTTTTCCCCCAGCTATGAAGTGAGATAGAAATAGAGGAAGACACAGAAGTGTCCATAAAGGCTAAAAATTAATGCATAGGGGTGCTGACAGTTCTGCAGTTATAACAAAGCGATTTCAAGTTTGATCAGGAGCACTTGGGACTTCCTACTGTAATGTGAATAGTATATGGAATATCTTCTGCCAGTTATAATCTGTTTTAGAGATATAAAAATACTGTACAGTACATTGGTTTCATTTCTTATGTTTCTTGGAACTCCCATAGTTTTTTTTTGTCCAATCCTAGTTCTGCTTTAGGTTTCAAAAGCCTTCCCACCCCGCTTCCTGCTGAGAGATTTACATGCATTTTGGCACATGATTTCCAAAATGTTCTTATACCTTTTCCCCAAAGTAAATGTTTTAATGCTATTCCCCCATTGTCTCAATGTGCATTGTTCAATTATATGCATTTTAGTAACATGATTTACTTGTATATGAGTATAGAAGAAAGATAAACTGCTCACAGCTTTCTCCCAGCAACTGAAAACAGTTATGTGTGTGCTCTTGGTAATAGGCTTGCAAGCCCTAAATTGGATAAATTTGTAACAAAGAATTAGTTAATGCAAATTCAGTTTCCTTCCATAATCTGAGCAGCTGTTTAGTG